GGCATTTGAAGCACACAAGTCTTAAAGCTGTCAAGTTTGAACACCACTGGGGGTTTTTTCCTAAAGGGTTAGGGGTGCAAGGGTCTTGTAACTTGACAGCTTTAAGACTTGTGTGCTTCAAATGCCAGAGTTTCTGAGCCAACATTTTGGTTGCTAAGCAAGACCATTGTTAAATGAGTTTCACCACATTTTACAAGTTGGCCACTCCCACACAGTCACATGCCTGGCAAGCCACTCCCACAAAGCAGGCACACCTATAGAAGTGGTTCTTAAAATTTTTGAAACCCACCACTCGTGCACACACGTGCAAGAGCACCAGAAACCAGAAGAACAGTTTCCCGGTGCACATGCGCACGCCAGGAAGCTGAGCTTCTAGTTTCCTGCGTGCATGCGCACCACCTGCTCTTCCGATTTCTGGTGCTTCTACTTCCGGCGCTCCTACTTCTGGCACATGTGCCTTAGGTTCGCCATCACGGGTCTATGACATTGCAGCCTTAAAAAAGATGATGACTAGTGGATATCCTGGTTAGGTGCCCCACAGAAGTTGTTCCTCAGAAGAATAATACTGACCAATGCAACTCTGTGATCTTATAGTTACCCTTATCTAGACCTTTGAAGCAGTTATACGTAGCAAAATGCTCTTTCCCTATGATTTCTTCCCAACTTTACCAAGATAAATATTTCTTTCAGTTGAATAAGGGCAGTACTTAAAGCCTCTAACTGAACATACCCACTAACCCTGCTGGGGCTTCAATAACTCAAGTTTGCTGAGTTTCTGTCTTCTGCCCACTCACCTGGGAGGTTCTTCCAGTGTCCGCCTTTGCCCACATAGATGATTTCATTGCTACTGGCCTCTCCATTTGAGTTGTGGTCAAAGGTGACACCTTTGTACTTCTTGGGTCCTTTGCTGCACACAAATTTCTTGCAGCATTGACCAGGTACTTTAAGGAGCCGGGGACTGGGACAGCCTAGTGAAGTCAGAGGCAGCTCCAGTGGGCAAAGAGGCTGGCAACCCACGGCCCCATCAATGCAAGTGCATTGATGTTTGCAACTAGGCTGGAAGTTCTCTCCGTTTTGGTAGATACGGCCGTTGTATTCGCAGGTCCGACCTTCTTGCTTTGCTGGGGAAGGGAAGAAAAAAGACGCTCCACTTTAGTAGTTGTGTGTTTAAAGGTGTAATCATATATAACGTACACATTTATAAGAGAGGATCCTGTTAGAAGTTACAAATTGCATGGACTACCAAGGTACTGTGTTGGAGCAAGCTATCACTAATCATCCTCTCCCCCAAACTAGGTAGTTTCTTATTAATCTGTTTTCAAACAAACATACATACAATCCTTTGAAATAGCTGCGGAAAGAAGTCTTTAATCATCCTGAACTTCAGCACGAAGATTTCCCAACCTACATCTAATTAAGATTCCACCTTCATAGTCACCAGGGAACACTGTTCACACAAACAGACCAGAAAAATAACCGAGAGGTACTGAGAAGACTTCAAGGTCACATCCCACTGGTCTGCGCTAACATACAACTTCAGTTGAAGCTGGGAGTGGTACCTGAAACCTCAGAGTTAGATTATGCAGAAGTGAAAAACACAGAAAGTCCCTGGCTATCACCATTAGAAGTCAGATGAAAATATTTATCTGCAGAACTGGGTTTTTACGGGCCATGTCAACAAGAGACGAGTGTTCTGAGCTTTAAATAGACATGTAAAAACAGGATGTGAAAAGCACACACAACCTCGGATCAGGTTGCAGTGGCTTGGGACAGGGCTGGAAGCCTTCTGCTGGAGGGTCTGCTGAGAAGAATTCTAGCATAAAAGGACGGGGTCTTCACCTCCATGCTCTGCAACAAGTTGTTCTCTTTTTTACTTGTTCTATATGTGCTTATAAGGTTTTCTTTTATTTCCTGTATATTTTTCCACTGGGTGTGTGAAGTTTTGGCTAGATCAGGGGTGTCAAACTCAAGGCCCTCGGGCTGGATCTGGCCCACAGGGTGCTTAGATCTGGCCCAAGGGCCCACCCTAGAAACAGCAAAGGACCAATCCAAAGTGGCTCTGCCAATGAAAATGGACCTTGGGAGGGCCGTATGTGGCCCTCTTGGGCTCCATTTCGGCCATGATGGCCTCCTGCAGCCCTCTGCCAGCTAAAACGAAGCCCAAGCAGGCTGAACGTGACCTCTCTGACTTCCGTTTTCACTGGCAGAGGACTGCAGGAGGCCATCATGCCTGAAAACGGAACCTGGGAAGGTTGTCTCAGCCAAAAACGGAGTCTTGATGAGTGACATCGAGATGGCCACACCCACCTCGGCCATGCCACCCCAGCCTCCTGCCGTCCCAAGGTCAAACACAACTCTGATGCAGCCTTCAATGAAATCGAGTTTGACATCCCTGGGCTAGATCATCTGGAAGTCAGTTTTTAAAGCAAGTCTGCTCATATATGTACATCCTGGAAGTCTTACCTATGGAAATAAAAAGTTTCATCTGCTCTGCTTATTAAGAAGCAAACCTCCTTCGGTTATGCAATCTGGTTTTCTATGTGCATTCTTTCTACTTTCACTTCGGCATAAATGTCTCTTTTCTCAAATCTCTGGATTTATATCACTGCCCCGATCTCTTTCTATACTACTCTACTATTGAGTACAGAAGTTACAAGGTACTACAGAGTGATCTTATTTGCCAGCAATCTAGAGGAAGCTGGGATAAGACACAGTACTTTGGAAACTTACTGTAAGGTTGAAACCCAGAGACAAGACACTGATATCCAATCAAGTCCAACGCTTTATTTGATTGCACCTAATGGACAGGCTCTTGCCAAACTAAAGCTGTAACTTTCTAAGCTAATAGATGTATCCTGAGAGATTCTAGGGTGTGATTATCCGGAACCACTTTCCCCTTTCCGCATCCAGCTCACGACTGTGCAGTCTCTTAATCTGGGCCTTTTTCTGGGAAAGCTCTTTGTTGCCACCACCCCCACCCCCATTGCTCCTCCAGGTGTACATTCCATCACACAAGTTATCTTCATTAGCTCTGAATGATCTCCCTATTTCCAATAATTCACCTAACATATCACTGGGCATCAAAATCAGTCCAGCTCACATTTATATGCCAAATAGCCTGAACGGACAGACTTGCCTTCTGTTAAACCATTGGTCCATTCAGCCAAATCTGTCTACACACATTGATGAGCAGTGGTGCTATAAGCCTGCCACCAGTCATCCAGCATATTGTGACCTTTGGTTTGCAAAGATTGTGCCCTATCAAATCAGCCACAAAGCACTGAATGAAGGCAGCTTTCTAAGACAGATGGATTTGGATCCATTCCCCGCTACCCAAATAAAATGCTGCTTCTTGTGAAACTCAGGATAACTAATCTGTTGTTCACTATCTCAAGCATTTTTCAGTCAAGCATTAATCACCTAGAAACTTCACTGGGGTGAACACTGTCTATTATGAGCCAGAACCATTTAAAACTTCACTGCAAATTCTTAATTATTAATACAGGGTATTCTAATAGGACAAACATGCAGAAATCCCAGTATAAAAGCTTACACAATTGTTTTATATGACTTTTTAAAAGTTTGCTAAAAATAATCCACTGATACTTCTCTCCCAGCAGTAGATTTTTAGACATACAACTCCAGCTTGGAACTCCAACCTTCTGCCATTCAGAGGGCCACTTCCGGGCTGCTCTGACCTAGAGGTGGAGCTCTCAACGGGGAGGTTGTGAGTTCGATCCTAGGTAGAGGCAGATGTAGGGTCTCCTGCTTGGGCAGGGGGGTGGACTAGATGTCCTGCAAGGTCCCTTCCAACTCTGTTAATCTGTTGACTCCTCTTCCAGCATGGCATCGTCTATGATCGCTGGGAATGGAGGAAGCTGCATCCCACCTCATCTAGAAGCACCCAATTAGCAACGCCTCCTCCAGCTCCAGGTCATATGCTGAGCTAAGGCTATCGTGCCCCTCTTACCCCAACAGATGCCCCGGTTCGCAAAGGGGTCGGCCCCAAAATTGCACTCCAGGCCTTTATGAGGATCGCAGGGCGACAGCTTATCGCAGTCCTCGTTGAGCTGGCGGGCGCATACTTGGCAGCAGCCACAGTCGTCGAAAACCGAGCTGACACCCGGACGGCAGCGAAGGGG